TAGGCTCGCCGCGATACTGTCTTCTCGGGCTCTACCTGTAAGGCCCTCGGACGATCCTCTGCGTAGAGTCGCATTCCCGGAGGTCTACCTGAATCATCTGGCGGTGACGTCTTCGTTTCAGGGCCACGTAACGGATCTTCGGTCTTCTAAAGAAACTGTGGCAGCTTTTGGCGCGCGCGGTCACTTCGGTTTGCCGCCAATTCTGCTCTACAACTGCGAAGTCAGTGTCTTTTTCCGCAATGCCTTCGTCTCGGCGGCATCACTGGCTCTTCTGACTGGTTTCTCCCAGCGTCGCTCCTTCCATTTCTACTTCGGGGTCGACGAGCAGCACTGGTAGCAGAAATAACACGGTATTCGAACGAAATGCAGTATTCGTTCGGCAAATCGAAATTTAGCATGGTCGTAAACTTTGTAAATAGCGAGATCAGATCTGCTAAAATGCGGCTCCATTGAACGTGGTTGCAGGCGGTTACTTTTTAATCGACAGGGTCCAGATATTTTGAAATAACGTCGTATGCTACCCTGTTTGAAGTCCTCATTCCAGGGCAAGACCATAATTCATTGGGTCAGACAGGGATTTGGGGAAGATCACTGAATGGATTGGGCAAACATTCGATGGCTCTGTATTTCCTCTCTTTTCAAAGTGAAGGTGAAATCAATTTCGAGAACATTTGTCATTTCAACGATCCTTCCTCGTTTCGTTCACATGTAGTAGGAAATCCGATACTCATCGGGAGAACCGCAAGTACGAATGTGCATCGTTCGAATGATGCTCCTCCAAAAGACCGCATTTTCTGAGCTCGGAATTCATCTCTATTCGCTGTAGGCGTTATCCAAGGAAACCCGCGATTTCTCCCCGAGCTGGTTCTGTGATCTGACATCAGCGCACGAAGGATTCATTATCGCTCTTACCTTTTGGCACTCATCGTATCCGATTCAGTTGATATAAAATGAACGATAAATAATATCCACAGGATAACTGATGGCCGGAATGAATACGCGCATCGGCAGCGAGGATTCTCCAGAATCTCAGAGTGAAACTGACCTTGACACAAATCAACGGGACAGCCCGCAAGTCTCTCCGAGTTGAGCCGTGGAATGACTCCGTCAGGAATAGCAGGCTTTGAGTTTTGTCCGAACTATCCGAGTGCTGTTCCTGACCCAATCACCTCGATTCTAGCCGATACCGAGTACGGCATCGAATTTCTCTATTCGGTGCATTCTGCCTACAACGCATAACATTTTCTCCCTCGGGCCATAGGATTTCTGTCGTGTTTATTTTCCTTGTTTAGTGATCTCCGATAAGGGAGACGAATCGGCCTCGCCTCTCCACCTTTCGGAACACATCATTTCAAGAAAAAGGAATCTATCGCAAGGTCGTACTCGATTCAAAAAAATGCTCGAGACTGATAAGAGTTCAAGTGCATGGGGATTCCAGTGCTGAATCGATCGGAGAACAGATCCGCGGCATTCAGGGCTGCCGCCCATTCAGGAATACAAGAAATTTTAGAACAGAAGAGTAGCGTCGAGTCGAACATCTCGGAAATCGTAGGCCCATCCGAGCGGACAAATCGCCGGAGAGATGGAGTGGTATTGAGGTACTTGAATGTACCGGGAAGAAGCCCCGCAAATCCTGAGTCGATGGCGCATCCAGAAAGAGAAACTAGTCTGGGAGTTCTCGGTGCGAACAATCGGTTGAAGCAGCATTGTTGAGGGACGCATGTGGACTTGGTACGATTAGAGGTATTTAAAGCACGATCGCCCCTGGCTCCGGCTGAGTGCACTGAACGATGTCGTGCACCACACATGCTATGTAGTGCCGTTACGAATACGGACCGGAACAAATGACGATAATGACCTCCTCGGAGACACGTGTTGCCGAACACAGACAATGCTTTCGGAGATCCCGCTACGTATTTCACATTGCTCACTGACCGTGGAGACGGCACACCTCCCGAAACGGTGGCACGGCAGCCCCAGCGGTGACATCTGAATACAGCTCGGATAGTGCTCCATCACGGAAAATCTTCTTTTGATCGCTCAGTACTACTGCGACAGAATAATAATTGTGGGATCCAAGAGGGTGATTCCTAGGCTTTGCCACCGCGGTCATTTAGCGCAATTTCGGTTTCTCTTCAACATGGGACTCTACGGGGGACAGCGATAACAGCAGTCAAAACCCGCGGTTTTTCATAAAAATTGCGTTTTTTGGCGGCCCCCAAGCGCGGCAGGAATCGAAATCGGAATCTTCTGCTGCAGTTGGTGCATCTGGCAAAGACTAGTGGTTTCCGATCACAGAAACGGAATTCCCGTCGGCGGCGGTTTCGGTTGCGCTCCTTGCCAAGCATGTCCCCTTCTGTCTGAGCAACAGATTTGGCTGGTTTACTATCGCAGCTCCACCAGCGATGACCGTTCGGAAGAGAAAACCGTTGGCCGAAGGCAAAGCAGAAGACCAAGACGATGCCGACGTTCGTCGGGGGTAGGGTAGTTGAACTTCGTTTGCATAATTTTCCGCAACGGTTTAAATCGTCAGTCGGTAAACCAGTCCAGAAAGTCCGTTGGAACGATTGGAGACGCCGATCACGCGTGCGGATCAATAAGCTAACCCGTCCGATCGGAGCAGGCGATACAGACAACTGTTTTTTTCCGGTCTCCGATTCGACGGAATCTCTTATGGTTACCAAAAACAACTCGAAATCGAACACACCGCGCAACTTTGTCTTCGCACGCACGCATGATTGGAGTAGACCTCCACGAAGAGCCCAGAGCAGATCGAAGATTTCCAGACCTGAGGGAATTCATCGAAGACTTTACTCAATCAGTTGGACCGGCTCGGCATCATTAATTCACTCGCCAGATTCCTTCAAAGATGCGATTGGGGTCGAACCCGTGGACACGTTGATCCCGGTGGACCGGCGAAAGATTCGGAGATTCGTTGAAACGGATCCCAGTTATCCGGCGACATCTGTTGACAGGACACACAATAAATATAGTGCCGTGCTTCCACGTCGGATTTGTTTGGTTTGAGCTTCTATTCGAATACGTTTCTGCCCTCACAATGTGAGCCGGTGGCATCAATGACAGAGATCGGAACAGATCCGTGAAGAGTTCACGCCCGCCCTCGACCGATGGAGTTTCGGTTTCCGCGAAATCTGCCGCTGCACCCCGCCCTCAAGCTGCCCGAACTGTCCTCGGATGATGAAACGATGACAGCATTAGCCATTCCGATCCCAGGAGGCATCGCGTTTTGCTCTGACGATGAGATACGATTCTCCTGATCCTATCGGAGGGACCCGTGTGTACGCGAAATGGCCTCCAGTTTGGCGCCAACCAACTCTTTCTTTTCAAAAAATGAAAGCAAATTCCTACTCCTGATGACGTCGTTGTTGTTGCCGCGCGCAACTGCCCTTGAATCATGCGCGCCGGCGAACCCCACGACAATATTCTCACCGCTGACACACTTTTCCGCGCTCCGTCGACGACGGCGAAAAACAACAAGTGAAGAGGGATGTCAATCGCCCCACAAGCGCGCCAAGCCTTCACAATGCAAAGCTCGGGGAGGCGGTCGCGGCGCTGTCTGGCGCGCGCGGTAAGTCGCCAAAAAATTTGACGTGACTCATGCCCAGGAAGCTCTGACTCTCCCCTCAGGCCGGAGACCTTCTAACATCATCGGTCATCGAGTATCGGGTCAGATGACCGACGGGAACGATCCGTCAGCAAAGTGGGATTGATGAACTCTCATAAGAAGCTCATCAGTGATAAACTTGTCTCGTTCCTCAATCGAGGCTACTACGGCGCCCACTGGATGGAGACCCGGTGAGTGGCTTGGAGGAGGAATTGAAGACCCTTCGGAGTTCCTCTAAGCGAAAGCAGCTCCGAGTCGAATCGGACGATTCGGGAACAAGTCTTCTTCTCTACTGGATGAGCTCCAGGCCGGCTGCCATCGATTCTGGTGATTGGCAGGATCGACTCTTGGAGTGTCGAGCGAGTCCTTAGGTGAGCGTCCCGCGATTCCGGGAGCACGATGTCTCAGAGGAGATCGTACGGAAGCGACTGGATGTTCGTTCCTACGGCCTGACATGCCCCACATCCTTTCGTTGCTCGTTTATCAAGTGTAACTCGAACTGTCGACTAGACTGCTTTTTTGTCCAAAAAAACCTCGAAAAACCGTTGGGCATTTAAAGGGAAGCACTCGACACATTACACCCATCATCATCGTGATCATTGAAATCTGTTCACGTGTCAACACGCGAAGAGCTACGACTCAATCAGTATCGGGTTGCGGCGACCAGCGTTTCTAACGGAAGTGACAGTGTGAGACGGAAAGCGAGACAAATGCAGTAATTCGAGAGGAGATCTGGAACCGAATCAGCCCTTCATGCTCGCTCTGATTCTGGCTTCAGGGTCCAGCCGATCTCTGACTCATGCAGACGCAGAGAAGCTTGCCCAGAATTTTCTCGTTTGGAGGACGGACCGATTTTGGTAAGGGGGGACAGGTCTGAAATGGCGAACTTGTCCTATGCTTGGGCACTACGTGAGGTGGTTTTCTGAGGGGCAAGGGGCCCGCTACTGACTGTGATCTGTGGAGGCCACAGCTTCCGATAGCCTTCCTCGGAATCATTCAATCATCTTCATAGTAATATCGGTATCCGATAGCGCTTCCAAATTCCACCGGCTGTCGATGAGCGATTACTGGACGACACATGGATGCTGCTCGCTCCGAGCAACTAAGACGGACTAATTCATGATACGAGGGAGTCGAGAAGCGTCTATTACATGAGTTGTTACGACACCGGTTAACATTTGAAGAGACTTCGTGTCCCCAAGGGTCCTCAAAAGGATTCCTCAAGAGTCCCGCCCACTTCCCCGGGCAGAATGCGAGCTTTCCTCAGAGTCTTACTAAATATTCATCTAACCAGGTGTGCAGCTCAGCGTAGGACGGCCTCAGACTATGGCGGCAGTGGTGTGCTCGGTCGATCCCATTCGGGAGAAAAAAGGTTTTGACTGCGCCGCGACGGGCCTCTGGGAGAGATCGAATGCCGTGTTGCGGGCCAGCGGGTCATTTTGCTCAGGGGCAAGAAGAATCCTTTCCCGTGGTTAACCGTGGACAAACGATATTCACCCTGTAGCTTCGGCGATCTGTGACTTCGAGCATCTCCACGCTCCTCGACTCGTCGGAGAAGCTTTTCGGAGGGGGACGTGACTTCACGCGCAACCCGGCGCGATAGTGCATCGTCGTCGACCGGAAAACACACCACATCTCCAATGGGAGCCCTTTGATCCCTGAGCGTACTAGCACCCCGGTGGATTTTATGCAATCCATGCCGCGTCATTCCGCTCATCGGGATGCGGTGACGGAGAAGATTTCATGCTCATGGGATCCGAGCGGCGAATGCAACTCATTCCCACAGCCGCGCCCTGCAGCAATCAGCGAGCGGGGAAAACATCCGCTGATGAACGTTATTCTTCACGGCCGTCTGCGTTTCGCGGAGATTCGAAATGTCGACAACAACAGTGGTGGCGGCAGTCGCCGCAATAACGGATCCGAGGGAATATACCGGGCAGAATTCGGTTCGAGCTCGCTTGCGGAGTCGGGAGGCCGGTGACCTGACGGAACTTCGCCACAATCATGGATGTGGGAACTATTGACGCCACACCTGAGTGAGTAGCGCTTATCGAACGGGATGCATACTCTCAGAGCCCCGATCCAGCCGTGGCATCGCAGTCGCTGTTCTAATCCATCAGAGTGCTCGCGTGATTCTACCAGCTCCTGAACCACCTCTTTTTTCCCCCGAAGCTGTAATGGCTTCTTCTCTACCAGACAGACACCTCGGGAGCACCACATTCTGAAAGGCAGAGCCTTAGCAGCAAAATTGCGGACCGCAAGAGAGGTCAGTCTCGACTTCGAGCTCCTTCTTCTTCTATATAACAGCATGTACACAGTGGTGGCGAAAATCTTAAGAACGGCAGCTGGAAGTACCGAAGAGGGGAATTTCGACCACAGCTGTATAATCCTAATTCAATTCCTACTTACACGAATAGTGTAGGTCGATTCAGGATCGGGGGATGAATAAAGAAATGTTGACACTCCCCGAAAACGACCTATCGAGCAAGTAGATGAGTTGCGGGAGGGGTCTCCATTTCAGGACGGCATCCTCATTGACAAGGATACACGAGAGCGGCTACTAAGCGATGCCGATGCCGAGAGCGCCAAGGCTTTCAAAGACTTATGTTCTCTATTCGACGAGAGCTTGGAGGTCTCAACTCGTGTCGCTACTTCGCTCGAGGGGAAGCGGACCTCTGGCTCGAAGAAAGATCAACTCGATGAGGCACCAAATTTATCGCTCTTCAGTGGCGGAGTCTTGAGAGATTACCAGAAAGAGGGAGCCGCATGGCTGGTCAAACTCGGGAAACAGGTGAGTTGGAAGCGGTCAAGAGCCTCGACACAATTCCGCGCCAATTTCCTAGTTAGGCCTGTCCGCAGACTCGTTCCTCCAGTGGTTTTTCCTTTCACCGCAGGGACTGAACGGGATTCTAGCGGACGAGATGGGTCTCGGCAAAACTGCGCAATCTATTGCGATGATATGCCATTTGGTGGCAAGTGGAGCCTCGGGACCGTTCCTTATATTGTGCCCGCTGTCCACCGTCAGGAACTGGGAGAATGAGTTCAATCGATTCAGTCCGGCACTGCCCGTCCTGGTCTTGCATGGACCGAAGACTAAACGAGCGACAATTCGACGGAAACTTCGCATCAGACGGGAACTGGGGAACGGCTCCGAAAAGTCAATTTTCCCGGTTGTAATCGCACCTTATCATAGTTTCGTGGCCGACTCGAAATCACTGTCGCGCCTAAAGTGGTCGTACCTTGTTCTGGACGAAGCCGCAGTCATCAAAAATTGTGAAACGAGGCTCTACAAGAGCGTGTCCTCGCTGTATGTTACCGGGAAATTGTTACTCACCGGTACCCCCCTCCAGAATAACATAAGAGAGCTCTTCAACCTCTTGCATTTTATCCTACCGAACATCTTTCACAACTATCGCCTGTTCGAAGGCTGGCTCGAGGAGCTCGACGCTCATCGAGAAGAAGGCAGTTTTGGGGACGGGGACAGCTGCCAGCTCGTCAGCACAATGCACAGCATCCTCGCACCCTTCTTCCTACGCCGTACCAAAGAATCAGTGAGACTCGACTTACCTCCGAAAAAGCATATCATCGTATATTGTCCGATGACGAGACTCCAACAGAGTTATTACAAGGCGGTACTCTTCGCCAAGGAAAAAGCGAGGAAGGAAGATGAAGCGCTCATTATAGAGGATGGCGCCCAGTCTCTGCGAACCTGTCGTCTCTTCAACGCTTTTGGCGAACCATCGGAGAAGACTCGCCGCGAGATGCGGATCGATCCACCAGCTAAGCCGAAGAAATGGTTCGGGGGCGAGGACGCGGAATCTCTGAGCATATACTCGAGGATTGGTTCCTCTCGAGTACAGTCCGGTGCTCGAGTACCGAATGAATCCACTGACGACGCAATGCGATTGCTAGACAAAGGCCGCGTGAAATTTAGCGGTGCGACCATGAATAACATACTCATGGCTCTCCGGAAAACGGTCGCACATCCATGGTTGCTGGATCTCGACAAGTCTTGGGGTGGTGATTATCCGAGGAACAGAGCAGCTTTGCTCGAGAAATCTGGGAAAATGCAGGTCTTCGACATTTTGCTTCGTGGACTTCTGGAGAAAAATCACAAAGTCCTGGTGTTCTCAGGCTTCACGTCGGTTCTCGACCTCATCAGCCTGTATCTGGCTCTCAGCAAAATCGAGCACTACTACCTGAGCGGACGCACGAAACTAGACGAACGACAGGAACTAATCGACGCCTTCAACAAGCCGAACTCGGTGGAAAAAGTGAGTGGAGGGTGGATATTATTCGGAAGGGAATCAGACGTCCGAGGTCGAGGTGAATCTCACAATTTGAGTCAGGGCTCTTCTCAGGGGTGGAGAAAATTCATTGATCTTTCAGGTATTTCTCCTGTCAACTCGCGCCGGAGGTCTGGGAATAAACCTGACAGGAGCGGATACAGTGATATTTTACGATACAGACTGGAACCCTCAGATGGATCTTCAAGCCGCGGATCGATGCCATCGGATCGGGCAGAGTCAGAGAGTTGTCATCTACCGATTGATAACCAAAGAAAGTGTGGATGAGAGAATCCTCGATGTGGCTACGAATAAACGTCGACTCGAGAAACTCGTGATGAAGTGCGGAAGGTTCGAGAAAGTCACAACTATCAGGGATCTCAAGGAACGTGATCTACTCGAAGTGCTCAAAAGCGTCGATTGGGACGCCGCATTGGATGGAGATCTGCTGGACCCGTCGCGAATTTTAGCTCTCACCGATCGCGATTCGGTTTTCTCAAGTGAAGAGAACAACATTTGAGGTTACATTTGACCCGGAGATGGCATGGCATCATCATATCTCTCGCCGTCGAGGTACTCAAGCGCTTAGCAAGGCGCTGTATGAGATTCGGTGTGGTTTCTTAAAGACATGAACGGTTGACAGGAACGATTTAAAGGCTTTGGTCTAATCTTTAAATTTTACCAGCGACAATAAAACCGAAAATAGAGGAAATTCCCTGCAGTCGATATCCGTCCCCATCGATGAGACTCCCCAGAACACCACCGACGATCGATGGGAAAAAATGTGGGTCGACTCAAGTCCGGCTTTGGAGAGAGTCGCTTCCCGGTCGGATTTTTTCACCATCTCACTTCAAGTTGCGGGATAGCCTAGTGGTTTCAAACATGTATTAAGCACGAATGGAATGATCTAGGTGAGGAGAATCTGAGCGGCAATCCTCCTAAACTCGATGGGTAGAGAAGGCCATTGAGAGGCAAGATATAAAGGAAATGGAGCTCAATTATTGAGCGACCGATTCTGCATTTATTCAGTTGTAATGATACGAGACCTCTACGGAACCTGAGAATGCCTCCACCAGTGAACGCGAGAAGCCGTCGGTGGAAAAAATGGCATTAGCGGCTATCCGTGAGTGGCTCGCGTCTGATAAAAAACGTGGGATATGGGAGGTCGGATGATTTTTGCGGTTGAGTCCCGAAATCGAATGCGGATGCTCTCACAAGCCGATATCATCGCATGTCGTGCCGTCTCTCACGTCTCATTCGAATCGGATAGGTAGTCCGGGCTCTGCTCCGACGTAGAGCAGTATCATCTCCGGAGCCCCAGGGTTCGCCGACGTTTCTTCGGCGGCGACTTCTCGACACATTCCACTGGGGACTTGTCTGGAACTGAACTTTCGAATCAATACCTGAAACTCAAGCGAAAAATAATACTGCCACTCTATGGATGGGTTAGGCAAGGGTCTACGAACCTGTTCTCGACGTATCGCTCGCTTTCGACATTGATGAGGACCGCGTGGAACGCCTCGGTGTGTTCTCTTTGCTACTCGTTGAGCGGTTCTGGCTCCTATCCACGACCGGGGTCACCTGCTCACCTTTGATGTCAATAGATTCTCAGTTTGAATGCTTGGCGGAGAAGAATCCTAGATTTGGCGAGCTTTGGTCGCAGATACTCACATCTTGCGGCCGGTTCTTACCTGGAGCTCCAGCAGGGGATGACGACCGGCAATCTGTCATGGGCTCTACGTCGTCTTCTGCAGAATCAATTCCCTTCAGTTCTAGACCTGATGAGGGAAGCTAACCGGCGGCTATGGACCGAGAGTTCCGTTTATACATCCGCAAGGGAATGAAAGTATCTGAGCTCACCGGATTCGGGAAAAGCCGACCTCGGCTCGTCCTCGATTTCTTTTCTGCCGTCGTCGGCTCCGTCGGCGCTTTTGCCTTTCTTAGGCGGCCACGCGACTTTCACAGATTCCTTCCGCTTGGAGCCGGGCGATACTTTCGCTTTCTGGACTGATTTACGCGCCGCTGAGGCATCCTTTTGCGGTTTCGGTACGGTCGATTTGCTCTCTTTCCCGGTCGGCGATCGCAGCGAACTAGGTATTTCCTCATCACTCCATTCGTCGTGATGTTTCTTGACCTCGTCAACTTTTATGCTGGTCGGACAAAATTCGAGTCATTCGACAATCAATACCGATTCATGTCCAAATTTTCTACGTAGGCCCTAGACGTGACCACCAGATAATCGAAGGCATCCAAGAGCCTCACCGGAAGTCTCTAGCGGCAGCCCGCGTAGAAATATCTCCGAGCTCGATCTTCTTCGAGAGTTTCTGTAGCTCGTGATGGTGCTGCTCCAGAGCGAAAACGAATGCTGGAGCAGCCTGTTGCTCCTTGGATTTCTGCTTCTTTTTGCCGATGTTGCGGCGAGCTGCTTCTTCCTGAACATTGGTTGGAACATATCGGATTCAGAGCCGGGATTACGGAGCTGATGTCGATTCGTGGAGGGGGAGGGGAGAAGGAATCGATCCGGACTTGATATTCCATATGTTCGATAGCAGCGGAGCGATACAGACCTCGACCCGCATGACGAGGGCTTCGAATCTTGGTGTGCAGACTTTTTGTACGAAAGATACCAGTTTCGGGTATCGAGTGGAGACTTCAGCCCTATTCCGCGATCCATACTGAATTAGGAAGAAATCCGCGCCTTAGCATTTACCTCTTGCTTGTCCGATCGATTTCCTCCCATTCAAGCTGAGGATCGGAGACGAGAGAGCGTCCCGGGATTTCTCTTTTCGATCGTAATTTCGGGACCTGACTGCCCCTTGTAGTCGGCAAGACAGGCCGGTTACTCCGCCCCGCGCCCTTAACGCGTCAGGAACTCAGGAACTTACAAACTTGGCGAGGCCGGTGAGAACCTTGTAGATTTTCGCTGTGCTATTCAGGAGTACGTCACAATACTCCAGCGGAACTTCCGAGTGTGCGACAGTGCTGAGAGCCTCTACGACGTAGTACAATTGTTTGATGAAAGCTGGCTCCATCTCCTCTGTGAGCTCTGAGGAATCGGAGAATTCACTTTTTACTTCTAGGAGCTCGAGAACTCTGCCACCACGTTCTTTCGAATCATGGGAGGCATTCATGGGCGTGGAATGCAGAGGAACTGACCGATTTTCGTGAACACCCAATCGAGCTGACCAGTTATGGATTTGACGACAGCATTGAAAAGTATGAAAAGCTCCGGTAGATCCTCGGTGTGCAGGCTCTGAAGAATGCCATCTTGAGCGGCTGTTGAGTTTTCGAGTAGCCCACAGAGCCGAGCGAGTTTCTGACTCAGTCTCTTGAAAACAGCCACACCACCGGACATGTGACTCGCCAGATCGAGCAGCAATGGCATGTATTCTATTGTGTTTTCCGCGCTCTGATCATCCGCCTGGAATTGACCGGAAACAGATTAAACTCCCGCTAGACATTCCGTACAGGAATCGAACGCGGATAACTCACCCATGTGTAAATGTCTGAAATCAGCGTGACGTCGTCGGGGAAAAGGAGACACATGCACTGGACGCAGGCTATCAGAGCTCCGACATCGTCCTTTCGTTCCGCGGAATCCTTCGCTTGCTTGATCATTTCCTTGAAGTACTTGAACAAAGCTTCTCTCGAATCTGCCCCTAACTCTTTCAAGAGCTCCTCGCGGGCGCTTGGAATATCTTCACTGTTGAACACGTCCTGTACCACGCTTTGGAAATTTATGGACATCATCTGGACACAGCAAGCTTTCGTCTCGGGATCGACATAAGGTTTGGTGAGAACGTCCTGTAGAAGAAAACGCGCTGGGAGTACGGAGCGGAGCGATTCCGATATTGGATTCCATTATATATTCCTTCAATGACGACTCGGGGCTTCAAGCTACCTTCAAAGCACTGAGCAGCTGTCGGCGCTCATGGGGCTCGATACGTTTCCTCGGAGCCAGGGAATCGCTTGCGTAGAGGCGGATTTCCATGTGGACGCTGTCAGACTTCAGCAAGTTGCAGAGAACTTCATTTGACAGCAAACATTCGTGTTTCGCGCTCTTTTCCGCCTACAAAAGCTCTATCTGATTGAAGGTTCTCTCTGAGATAAGCCATCCGATCGAATGCCGCTGGAAGTTCAGCGCGCTTACTCTTTTCTTCCGTGGAGCCTTGCTAGCAACCGAAGCCATCGTTGTGTCTGCGTTGCTCGCAGCATCCTGGGCTCCTCGAATTTCCTTCAACTTCTCCAGGACATTTGAGCAATCTACGCCGAACTCACTGCTCAGCAGTATCAGTGCGTCAACCTGACTGGTTTCTTCGACATTAGTCGTCATCGAAACCATGCGTTTGAACAGCCACTTCAGAGTTTGAGATTTTTGGGTGCCTAAGGAATCGTAAAAGAAACGATAGAGGGGATTAGATACATACTTGAGTCGGAGACCATCTACGATCGAACACCAGACATTATGAAGAAGCTGTCGGTACCTTTAATGTGAACCTTTCGATAAGCGCAGAGACAAGATGCAACCGACATGAGAATATGCGGATCGCTGGGATTTTGGAGCATCAATTCTTGGAGCAGCTCGAAGATGCTCTCCTTGAGCATACGGTTCACCTTGATGAGATCAGAAAGACCCCGGAGAATGTGGTGTCGGATTTCAACCGTGCTCGGTGACAGCTCTACCAGGATACGACGGATAAGCTCCAGAGCCTCGAGACAAATCCGTCCTGGATTCGAAAGAAAGTGCTCCCCCGTAAATTCCACGATTTTGTCCCTCATCCCCGCTCGAAAAAAACGCAGCAGAGTGACATCGGGCAGGGCTCTGATTTTCTTGAGTGTGGGAGAAAGTGTAGGCAGGATGTCTCGATCACTACGGAAATCGGAAGAAGTTGTTTTGGGGCAGAGTCATACCATTAGGGTTTTGAGAAACATCATCGTCTTCCACAGTGAAGTACGCAATTATCTCCAGCAGGCCATTCGCCGCGACAAGTCGGCTCGCCGGGTCGTTCAGGAACAGACACTTCCTCAAGGCTATCACCAACTCATTGCGGATCTGGGGGCACGACTCCAAAATTACTCGGACAAGGGTTCGAGCCACTTGAGGGTCGACTGAAGGCAAAGCTGCGAACGATGGGAATCATCAACTCGAGACATTCTTCATTGTGCTCAGGAGTCCCTCCACCCACAAGGGACGGTGGTTATAGTTTCACAAAGGAATAAGAGTTTTTTTCTCCCTATACTCAAAACGGCTTCTCACCTGAAATGACATCCCAGCCCGCTGAAGTGGGCAGTTGGCCACACGGTAGTTTCGCCAACAGGTCAGCGCATTCTTTTGACGGATTCTGGAAAAGAGCTCTCAAAAGCCGGTCAAGAACTGCTTGAACAGTGCCAGCTTGAGAAGACGTTTGACAAAGCGTGAGCAGCATAAGTGCACCTTGTCGAGCCACCCGCGGCGGCGTTTTCGTTTTCAGAAGCAGAAAACCGAAATCGATCAGGCAATTCGTCGTGAGGAAGACTTTGTCATCACTCGTGCTGGAAAATACACGCTCGGTATGAGCTTAAAGATGCACCGGATTTTGAGCGATCGAACCGCGACCTGGCAGCTCCCAATTACCTCAGAGTGCACGCATCTACGAGAGCCAAGGGCGCGTATACCGGCAGAGTTTCGCTGAGCCATCGAGCTTCGTAACGCTTCAATTCGTAATCGCAATGCAATGCAACGGCAGCGCGCAGTGCGTTTTGCGTCGGTGTTTGGAAGTTTCTGTGGATCGAACCCACCGAGAGACACAGACGGAATTTGAAGGCATCGGATAAGATGGCTACCGGATTGCTCTTGATGAGGGCCTGCACCGATTTTGCGATCTGCGGGAAAGCATTCTTCACTCAAAATAAATCGCCCCATCGATAACGATCTGCCCCTCCCCCACGGAAATCGGAAGCCTCCGCCATGCTCGTACAGAGCGAGGCTCGCGGGAATGGGAGGTCCCCGTTCCCGAGAAGTCATCGTACTCACGCCAGGATTCTGCCGGGTCGCAGCCACACACTCGGCGAGCACACCAGCTCGCGTCGTTTCGTCGATGTTCTGTGGATTGAGACGCTGCAGGACCTGCTGCAGAACTGAAGGATGGATCGGGAGAATCTGACTCAGGAACGGTAGCAGCAGATGACTCGGTAAGGAGTTGATGTACGGACTCAGAACTGGATTGACCACACCGAATAACGAGTTGCTCAGCTCGATTTCTCTGAAGAATTTGGCGATGTGCACGACGATGTCATCTCTCCACGGCATCTTATCGACTAGGGCCGAAACCAGGGCCTGTTTGAAATCCGTGACCCTGCTTCCCCTCCATGGGAGGTTTGCCCCCGTGGATGAGGCGTGCAATAGCAGGGATGATAAAAGCTCCAAAGTCATAGGACATCCAAGGTTGTCGATGATAACTTCGCAGAGGGCTAACGGGAAAGTATATTCTTGAGAATAATCGGCCTTCGAAAGGCTCCGCTCCGCCGAATCTGTTTCATGCGGGTAAATTCGCTGATTTTCGGAATATTTCGAACGTTCTCCATTTGAGCGTACAGACCGGAACAATCAGCCGCGGAGAGGAGATTCACGTCGGCCAGGAGCTCCACGAGGAGATTGTTGAGAGACTCCGAAGACATTTCCGATCCCGGGAGAAACCAAAACTTCAGTATCGAAGTAAGTATTTGACGGAAGATCGTCAGCCTGAAGGCTTGTTTGCCCTGGGCATCAGTAGCTGCGGGCGGAAATACGTTAGTCCAAGCTCGGGTTGCTGCTTTGGAAATGTGAGAATACTAAATGAGAAACGATTCGTGCGGCTTGAGGTTGTGCGGACGTGAGAAAACGCAGAGCGGAGAGCATCGGAAAAAATGTCAATCTGAGTGTCCCCGACCGTACCTTTCCGGATAGCTTGGTAGATTCCTCCGAGGTTCCCTCCATGCTCCTCTTTGATGTGGGTCTCGATCAGTTTGGTAATCTGTGACGACGGGGAAAGAGAACATAAATCGCCGAGCAACCTGTGCGCTGGATTTCGGAGTATATGGAATTGCGGAGGCCCGGTTGAGCTGGGTGGTGAGTTTTCCACTGATCGCCAGCTTATTCACCGAGTAATATACGTAGAGAGAACACTTACCCCGTCTCTATCCGAATTTTCGACGAAACCGTTCAGCTGCTCCATAGCAGATCGACTCTCACTCAGAACCTTGGCGGAGTCTTTGGAAGCACGTCGGATACATGGGAGCTTTCGTAAGAACAATTTATAATTTACTAAGAACCAGGGAGAGCTCAGGCTCCGTTGAAGGAAACGTAGTCAGAATCAGATGGTCGCGGAGATTCGAAAGCTCGGTAGACAGCTCTCTGCGAGAACGGCAGCGTTGGCGCCATTGAGTGGAACGAATGGATGCATTTTTCTCGGCTGTCGGGCGAAGAGTTCATCGTTCCTGATCGCGCTTCAGGATCATTGTAGGAGGGCGGAAATCCTACTCTGCAGAACCGAGAGACCATCATTGATTTTCTCGACCTAAAGCCAAGTGTTGCTCAAAACGCAATCCTAGTCGCCAGCTGCGTCTCGCGATGCGACAGTCGGAGCCACCTACTAAGCTCACAAGCGACTCCTCGCGTGAAACGGAAACCTTCTTGACGAGCGAAGTATCTCCTCGTAATGGGCTGTGACCTGTCCACAGGACTCAAGGAATCCCGATATCGGTGACTTCCTTCGTGGGAAACATCTTCCAACTTTGCGGAAGTCCGGCTCCTCCTGCATCTCTTAATCCAGGCTGCCCATAATGAGGGACACTCATAGAGGGACACAATAGGAGATCCGTTGATGAATTAGATATAATCCTGACCGTGTTTAACATTGTATTCGATGAGACTGCGAAACTGGAGGGGTATCTCTGATACGCGCATCTTTCGCTGGATGCGTTCAATTTCCAGTATCACGAATTTCGGAGCAACGATTCGAAGATTTATGAGACGCCATTCTTTCTGGCTCGCGCCACGAGGGGGTTTAAGATTGAGAAACCCTGAATCGGAGAATGAGCACATGGATAGGTCATCTGGGCTCCCGGTGGATAAACTACTGCGAGCTCTCGCTTGTCGGCCTCCATTTCTCTCCTCAGATTGCTTCGCGGCAATCGGAGTTCGGCAAGCTGTCGGGCAATGGATAACTCGGCGGCTAGATAGAGGGTAGAGTGTATATTTATCAGCTACAGTGGATCGAGTCTCGCTGCCGCGAATATACAACTTGCTGTTCTATTCGCGCAAAAGCTTCCTCTGCGAGGGAGCCGTATTTTGGAATCAAATCGTCAGAGTTTATTGCCTAAATCACAGGCAGGATTGAGCTCCGAATTCGGGCTCGGGTCCCTATGCTCACAATCGAGGAATGAGACTCGCTCACATCGACGGGATCGCCCTACACGTGAAATAATTGCTCTTCGACCGGGGGCCCTGAATTTCTCTCCGCGGAGGATCAGATATGGGGTGAACGGCGCGGCGGGGCAAGCTACATATCGAACGGATCCTTACGGTCCATCCTTTCCGTACGGGAGGAACTGGGTTCGAATCGCCCAAAGAGCTCCGTCTTCTAGTCCAGGATTCTCCTGCGCCAGACGGGGATGTCTCCGGTCGGCGAATGCGAGTTCCTCTCAAGAACTGAAGAAAAGCTCGAAGATTCCCAGAACCCATGGACACGATGCCGAGATTATGCTATCAGTGGACTCTCGAGTGTAATCACGGTGGCAGCCGTGGCATTCCTCGTGAACGCTTCTTACTGATCAGGTGTGGCGACAGGGATGAGCTGATTCCTTGTCGGGTTCGATCTTATCAAACTTAGCTTTACGTGAATCTTGCTGATTGTCGGGATCTGATTGCCTTCACAGAGTCAGAACTGCATGGTCTTTGTCCCTGTCAGGGCCAGCTCGTCGCGCACATGCCGCAGTTTTGCTGCCCAAGTCCGGCGGCCCTCCGAGCGCACAAGGTGCATCTGACGCTTCAAGTCTGAACCGAATGAGCATCATCTCTCTTACCTCACCCCATGGATCGCACCTTAATTAGTCAGGCAGATAAGGAGAAGACAGACTCTACAAAGCGTACATGAAGCCAGGCTTCACCGCGATCAAGATGATGTATGACTGCCACGCCAAGCGACTCAAACGCCTGATCAAAGAATCCAAATCTGATAACCACGATCAGAATTCGAGAAATCTAAGGACCCAAGAGAAGCGTGGCAGATATGGGAATGGGTATTGTACGGTTATAATATGGTGATATTCAAGTAAATACTCCGCGGACAGCGTAAGGGCTTCATGGGCAGCTCCATCATATACAAGGCATAAACGAACACTCCGCGACGGTTGGCAGAACCCTGGTGAAATCGAGATTGGGGACAGACACCTTCTAGACCCCAGTTAAGGAGATGACTAAGGCCCTCTTTGCCTCATTCGAAGCACCGGACTACTGGACTGTGTACAATATATTGGACAGTTGCAGCGGGCATAAGGCGTCAGGAATAGACGGAATACCTCTGAGACTGCTGTACCTAGCGAGAGAATACATAGTCGACAGCGTGGTGTCTATCATTGACAGAACACTGCGGGAATCACACTACCCGGACTACCTGAAACGCTCCCTTGTCCTCCCTATGTATAAGCCTGGGGCCCACTGTGACATATTGAACTAAAGACCCATTTCACTCTTGCCAGAAATCAACAAATTGATTGAGAGATTTCTGGTGGACCAAGTGACCAAGAGAGTAACGAAATACTATATGAAAAACAGTTTGGATTCAGAAGGGGCAGGTCATGTGTTTACGCGGCTTACGAGCTACAGGACTTCGTCTCTCGCACACGGAATGGGGAAGAGAACTGTATATCGATTTCCTGTGATATTTCGAAGGCTTTTGACACTATCAACCATGATGGACTAATCCAGAAACTCGAAGCAGCCGGAATCCGAAGGGCGGCGCTTGACCTACTCAGGTACTGTCTTTCTGATAGAGTTCAGTGTTTTGAATATAATGATGATATGAGTGAAGCGACGGCGATCTACTGAGGGATTCCGCAGGGACGTAGCGTACTCGGACCGCAGCTCTTCTTGGTATACATGAACGATCTTCCTGATTTTGTGTCCTTTGCTGACGATACAGCCTTCCTCATAGGAGGCAAAAGCGTAAGCGATCTCTTCAGGAGAACATCGATCTGCATGACAGCTACGACTGAATGGATGAACAATAACGGATCTACATATACTGAATCTATACTGAATCAAAACCAAATTCATGTAATTCGGCCCGAAAAGTCTAGAGCTCAGAAGACGGAGGATAACCGCCCATCGGCGCAAGTGCTCGATGGATAACCAATCCTGCTTGTGCCCAACGATTGAGTGCTGTGAGACGTACGACTGCTCAGGACTCACGTTCCAGGATAATATGAAATTCGACTCCCATATCGGTAGCGTCCGCTCGAAAATTGGGTCTGCCATCGCGATCTTGGTGAGGACACGGAACGAGGCCTCGTACCAGACGAAAAGAAGCATATTCTTTGCTAGCGTTGACGCACATATAAAATACATGCTACCAATACATGGCGTGACTTTCAAGACGACCCTTAAGCACATTCAGACATTGCAGAATACGGCTATTAGAATTGTACACTCGGCCAACTGTCGAGTTCGCACGGACCCACTGAGGAAAGCAATCGGAACTCGTACGGTCAACGAACTTTATGCCATGGCAGTCATGGAACTGATGTACATCAAGATGCGAAACTTTGATACACCCAGTCCCAGGACGAGAGCTTGGACGAATGGGAAGCTCTCACTACCGACAGTAGTAAGGACGGGCATGTACCGGAAGACACCGACGTTCAAATCCTACCAGCTAGTCAACTACATTAAAAACCCTTTCGTGATTAGGTGAGAAGAAAACAATCTCTGCTCTGCTTCCAAATCACTCCAGGTAGGGGGCAACGATCCGTTGTCTGGCACGAGACACCTCTCATCAGTTGCAGTAATCGAACCTTTTTTGAAGCGAACGCCTCCTCCGACGTCCGTATCACAGGCCAGTTGGCCTCTGACGGAGTATATTCAGTAGAATAATGGTTCGATGAATAAATCGCCAACTTACTACAAAAAAAACACGCAGGCCATTGACTGAGTCTCTAACTCAGTCGGATAATGGGCGTAGAACTACGCTTTTCTGAATTTTCACCTGGATTCTTAGACATGTTTATATCAAAATATCAGGCTCTCCCGAATAAGAATTTCTGACTGCTCTGCTCTCTCCTATCTCCCAGAGATGGAGTAGAGTTTCCAATTCATCGACATCAGCTCTACTGCACTGGGCTCTCACTCCGCTTTTATAATTGGAATGCATCGCTCAAGGGTTTCTGGGAAGGCAATTGGTACGCTTGAGGAAGTGACATTAAGTGGCATCTTCGGGCGAGAAAATTATCATACGATGAGGTCCGTTAACTCCTATTTCAACTCACAGTGAGAATCGTTTTCACCATGAAATGATGAGATAACTTCGTATGAATAAAAGGCGCCACTTCGACTCATCGCGGATGTCCTCGAATTTTCCCTCTTGATCATAATGGAAATCATGATCTCGTGTGCGATCATTGGTATACCCATCAGAGACTAGGTTTTTTTCGCTCAAATGTTTTTGCGGAAGCGAATTGTGTCTTTTAAGGCACGATTGAATTCCGAAAAGTGAGATCGCCTTCTTTTTCGTAAGTAGTTGATGGAATCGAGCCGCTATCGTCTAGACGGTCGAAGTTGCCGAAGCTAAACATTTCTTGCCATCATGATATTTGTGCTAGGATGCGTAGTTCTCGAGTATTTTGAACTCGAGCCTATATTATGGCCTATTTCAACCCGAAGAAAGGATTCTCGAGTTCGGCATGACCTTCTGACGATGCCTCACAAGCATTCCCACGTATTTGCCCATAACAGTTTTCCTCATAAAATGCTTTGTTGCCGAGAATATCGACGATGGAGTTTGTGACCATTGTGCACGATTCGCACCCCATCTTGTCCACCTACCGGGGGCTATAGCGTAGTTCTACGCTAAAAAATAGATATACAATCTTGACTAGCTTTTTTGGGACACCCTGGAACGGGCCTTACTCTCGCGGTACCGCCACGAGATACGGGACACGATCTGCCTCTCCAATGTATCGAGGACTTTTTTCGAAAACAGTAGGGACCCTACCGTCCACGCAATCAATGCCAATCAATCAATCGATGTAGGGGATCGCATGCACGGTTGCTGATGGATACGATTCGGAACCTCGATCCTTCCTCGGTGTCTTTTCCGCCTCGGAAATTCCCGCGAATCGGCACCCAGCGTTGCTCAGGAGTCACAAGTACGTTGAGTTCTGCGCGATATGATCCAATGAGATCCAGAGTCATGCGACGGCAGTCAGCTCAGTTCCCTTTCAGAAACGAACGATTCGAGTCTGGAAAGAGGCGAGGGGACCGCCCGACTGGCTCGAATCGTCAGCAAAGATCATCAGCCACATTACGACCCTACAAGTCGAATTTCGGGTCCAACTTCGGGACACCTCTCAAGGTTCCAATCTCTCGCGTTCATCCCCGCCCCCTGGGAACGAAAGCTCAGGATGGACAGTCCCTTCATTCCTCTGTTCCTGAGAAATAGCGAGTCCACAACGACATCTGCGTGATCGCTGATTGTTGATAACCGCTGCTTCTGCTACCACCGCCGTCGTCGCTGTTCGTGCGGGCAGGTTCCCTCCGCAGCTCTCTGAGCATCTGTTCGCGATACGACCATCTCCATCGAGCCCATCGTTGAAACGCTTCAAGACCTGGTCGCCGTCAGCTGACGGAACGATATTCGAGCTCGCATGAAGCGCTACACCGTCGCTTGTTCGTCGCGACGTTGCTCATTCCGGAACGACAAGTCGACGGGAGAGACATTCCGAAAGACGAACCCGCAGTCAAGTCCGTGATGACCCGAGTACAGTTTTGTTGGCACCAGTAGTCAGCCATATCGTTGTCAGTGTCGATGCCGATGACTGTTGTTGTGCGCAGTTTGCTTTGTTTTGCTGCTACGGCTGCTGTTACTGCTGTCGATGCTGCTGCCACGGCCGCCACCGCCGCGACCGTCACTGCGCCTCTGCGTCCCTGCCTGCCTGTACAGTCGACGACTTACGACGAGTGAACTTTGAATTGTGCACACCGCAGAAGGCCTCGGTTATGGCGTTTGGACCATTCGTGCCGTTACCACCACCACCGTCGCCGTTGAGTCAAATCGGAGGGACTGCGTGAGGGACAGCCGAAAGACAGGTGCTTACGATTCGGACCAAATTGTTTTCAAGCATCGAAAAAATCCACAACATCGAAATCAACGCCCTCCGTATCCGGTCTTCCCGAATTCGGGATTCTGTTTCGGTCGTCATCGCAGCCGCTCAGTGAACGCCGTCGTCGACTCATGCGAATAGGTTGTTCGTTGGAGAGCGATTCGAGCCGATTGATCAAAACAAAAGTCTCGTCCGAAGAGTTCGTAGAGAAGCCCTAGCCGATCAGCTGTTGCATCGACCGCTGTTGTCGCCGGAGAATGGTTGGTGTCCGGATCCGAGTTCCAGCAGCTCGAAAAAGTCTGAAACGGAGTCAGCCTCAGCCCACGCCGCGCAGCAGTTGGTCGCTTTCACGCCACAAGAACCTTTCGGCGGTCTCATGACCGCTGGTCGGACGTCGACTCGACGGCAACTCAGAAGCTAGGCGGATGAGAGAAACGATAAAGTGAGGTGAAGACAAGAGCAAGGAGAAACCCGGCAAAAACAACAGCAGCAACAAACCCATCATCAACATAAGTCGGTGGGGAGTTCAGAGTTCGAACGAACGCTTGAAGCATGCTGTTTTGCTAATGGGTAAATAACTTCACGAGGAAGATATTTCATCTGTTCTTAAAGGGAGGGTAAATTCGTTAGCCAGTTCGCCGACCGAACGCCCGACAAACCGACTAGCAGGCTCGCTCGCTCGCTCGATCGTACGGTATCTTCGTTCCAACTCCACGGCTCCCGTTGCCACTGCTACTTTCACCGAGACCGCTGCTGTTGACGCTGCTATTACAGCAGCAGCGTAAGCTGCGGCGGCCGCGACGTTCCAAGAAGACACGTTTCCAACGTGCGACGTCAAAAACAACCATCTCACGGCGGGATAGGCCTCTCCGATCTTTAACTAACTAAGTATCTAACTTGGTTATCGGTTATCGGGGGAAGACAGCGGAGCGGTTTCGCGGCTTAACATCGTTAAGTCGACAACGACGAAGAGTCCACATTCTGATCATCATGGGAGCAAAGGCGTCCACGAGTGCAGATCCTCCTCCCGAACCGGCGACACAGTCAAGAGAGCACCCGAGCTCGCGTGAAAGTTCCGGTTTAGCAGCAATTCTCGCCGATCTCGGAAGGAGGGCCTCACTCGAAACCGGATCGAGTGGACGCCGAGCACGGAGCTTTAGCGGCATCGTTGGCGGAAGTGTCGGAAGTGGAACCACCAGTGGACCTTTAGATACACCTCCGCAGCAGGATGGCAGCACACCTCTTTCAGAAGCACAGAGTCTCCCTCTGCACTTCATGTCGTTCAATGGTGAGTTTTCGAAAAGCTCTCTAGACGCTGATTCATTTCGATCTCTTCCCGTGGGACAAGCGAGTGATCCATGAATCACCAACCCGAGATCTTCTCGGAGTTCGTTTGTGGGCATTTCATTGTCTATACACCGCCGGCAGAAGACCAGGGGGGCAAGTTGGATTGTCCGCAAGGTCGCTGATCCGAATTCGGCAGCAAGCTTCACAGGGGATGGTGTTCCGCTCGGGTCCTCCTCGAAACCCCCACGATCCTCATAAGAGGAGGCGAGCAAAGATCCCTCCGACCGCGGCCGACTAAATCGCGATCTCTCGACCCGAGCCACAGACCCTCGGAACCTCTTGCAGTGGGACCGGAGGGGGTTGAAGGAAGGAACATATGGGTGGCCTAGCATGATGCGACTTCTCTCCTCCATCGCTTCGAAACCCTCCTCCGAGTGCGTTTTCCTTGGATGATGACGAACAATAACGCTCGTCAATAATAATTGTGGGGCAGCATCCCATAGAGAGCTCGCGTCCGCGAGAGAGAGGGTCGTAGGATCGTGCAAACGACGAGAGAATTGACTGGACTCCGTCCAAACGGACGAAAACAAGCGTGCTCAACTGCTCGTATTCTTCCCTGGCTCCATCCAGGTCGCAGCTTGCCGCTGAATAACTCGACATCCTCCCCGCTGGAGAAGAAAGCGGAAGAACTTATATCTCAGTCAGTTGGTCCATGCGATGTTATTCTGGACATGGAGCGAATAATATCGGGAGAGGAGGCCACGGACGGAAAGATGCTCGGCTGAGCGGACGATGCTGGATCTTATATCGAAGAAAGCTCCGAGAACGCTACCGACTCGTTTCCGCCGTTCCGTCGCTCGAGCCAGATGATTCCGGTCCTTCTCGACTGGCTTATATCGTTGAACGACGAAGAAGCGATACACGGCACAGAGAAATCACTCTGAAACCAAGCTGTCGCTCCGCTCGCGTCGGGCAAGCGCTCCCGATCGTAGCTCTTGTATATTACGTGATAGCTTTGCTTTGACGTCACTCAGAACACTAAGCTTGTGTAACCAGACGTCTTCACGACTCATTCGATTGGTCCAACTGCTTGGGAAAGTGAGCCGCCGAATAATTGCTAGCGGTCTTTCGGCGTTCACTCGGCGGTCTACGATTCATCCTGCTGACTGCTCGTTCATTCCGTTCTTCGATGGAGACCCTAAGGTCCTACGGGTCCTCTGAATTCTCAATGGAAGCTCTTCCCGGGGGGGGGGGCGCATCTTGGTCTCACGGCAAGAGATGGCAGCGCATTCTTGCTCACCGCATCTGGTGCCGCCAGTTCGAAAGCATGTCAGCGTCGTCGGTATGTCAGAATCGGCAGATCGATTGGACTCCGTTCCTCGGTTCACATCCGATCCTTCTCGGTCATCTCGCTGCGTGAGCGGCGCGCTCATTGTTTATTAAGGAATAGTAAAGGAAACAGAGGAGGGAAACACATCGCCAACATTCGCTTCGGCGGATGAATTCATGGGCTTGTGCCCTGAGGAAAATCGTGATATGCTCGAGGGAGCGACAACGACCTCGGAACATCCTTCCGGAGAGGATCATCAGAGCGCAAATGAAACTCAGTGAAGATTGTCTCGAATTACGCTGTTGCAGAGGATTTTTCTCGCTCCCGCGCGCTGTGAAATCTTTCGTGAGACCGCGGCATAACGACGGCGTCCGTGAGTCTGTAATCATATTATGCTCTGTGTTTGTCGGATATCTGCGTTCGATAACGACGCGCAAACTAGAGACGTCATCCTAATCGCCCGGGCTCGGGAGGAAGTTTGAACGGCGGTGCTCAATCGGCTTTGAGATCTAGGAATCACGGGGGATTTTTCGACTCGAATCACCGTGGCCCGCGGAATACCGATGCAGCTCGAACGACTGAGGGCTACCTGTTTCGAATGGGAATATTTTCGTTCGAATCGAGAAAGTTAAACCGAACTATTCCGATCGACAAGCGTCAATACCCGCTGATGTGAATAAGTTCGGACTGTTCCGTGGATCAACTTCGACCGTGGACGTATTCTCTGGGCTGTGCTTGCCTCCGATGTTCGTGGAAGGGAGGGAGGGAGGATGGGTAGAGAGGAGAGAGGAAGGACAATGACTCTATTCGGCGCGCGAGCCGGATAGAGAAACGCTCGGTTCCCCGTCGCATCATCGATGGTCGTGTTCGGGAAGATCGCTCGTAGTATAGCGTATCTACCTCTATCTGGGTACTGATCAGTGGTTCTGATTTCCCCGCCGGGGCTCCGACGCACGAGTGTTGTAGAGCACCTCGTTGGATTGCGTGAGCTCTTCCTAGACCCGGGCGACGCTTCGTGGGGAGTGAGGGAGGAGCCGATATTTTGTGACTAGCTCAAGGCTCCGTTCATGGTTCGAAAGTTCATGGGCTTTCCGGGACACATGCTGCTCACAGATTCATTCTAATATTTCCGGTGGAGAGCTCATGTTTTCGTCGTTTTCGGAATATTTCTCGCGAGACCTCGCACGGACAGAACTGCTCCATATACTCACGGAGAATTATAAAACAGCCAAGGCTTATGAGAGCGCGGTACGACCTGAGTTCTGGCTGTTGCGCAAGAGAGCTGAAGAAATCTGTTTTACCATACTCAGCTACGTCATATCGCGGTCAGTAGGGAATACATCGCCTGGTATCGCCACATCGGAGCTTTTTCCCTCGGGCTTCCTTCCAGGAGCGTTCAATGAAAAACCTCACCTCTTGGTTCCAGCCCGAGCCGTCTGCTGCGTTCGTTCCCAGTCGGAACCCTGATGAGATTCAAAGCGTTTGCAATTCATTTAGAATCACTCGCGCAGGTTATGCAGCCGACTACAACGAATGCACTCAGCTGAAATTGGATTTTGAGCAAAGATCTAGCTTGATGAACACGGATTGCTCCGAATGAGAGAGACGCAGTAGAAGAATAGTTTTCCCCAAACAAGCGTCCGATAGATCCCCAGTAATCCAGGGACGCCTCTTTGAGCGATCTGTTGCCCCCCGAGTACAAATCCGAGCTCCACTCCTGCTCGCAGAATGAAAGAAGGAGAGCCAGAGGGATCGAACTTCTCGAAGCTGTAACAAACTCTCTGACCGACGATTCGCTTTCCAGGTATCCGGTGCCCAGTGTGTTCAAAAGTGGTTCTTCCACATGACTGCGAGCTTCACCTAGTTATGTGTCTGACAAAACCCTCGCTCGCATACAACGAAGAACTTCTTATTGAGGACCGGGGAGCTGAAGCCGAATGCGTTATTTGTCTCGAAGAATTTTCAGCAGGTCAAACCATAGCGCGGCTACCGTGCCTTTGCATCTATCATAAGAGGTGAGTTTCGTCTTGAAGGTTCTCGACCTATGTAGTTGCCGCGATTGACCAGAATACCGTTAGCAGAAGTATGCATCTGGGGATTCGTCTCCGATGTATGTTATCTGTAAACGCTTCCGGGGAACAAGGCTGAGATCAGACATCTTGCGTCAATGGCAGAGCAATTCATCAGCGACATCAGCGCTAACCTGATCTCTCTTTCGACTTCATTAGCCGTGAGACGCTCTCACGAGATCGTAGCGAGTCTCGATGATGTAGGGTTCTGTCCTAGTTGAGAGAAATCGAGCACTCGGGCACTGCACGGTCGTGATTTCTCGGGACGCAATTTTGGACGTGAATTCCGTTCATTCCCGAGTAATTATACCATTCCCGATCGAGCCAGGTCTCACCAATATATACCCTCTGAGTCTGATCTCTTTATTACAGCTGTATCGACGCCTGGTTCCGCGTCAATCGGTCGTGTCCTGAACATCCCAGCGATTGACGAAGTTTCCCATGAACGGGGCCGGGGCAAACTGGAGGGAACGTTGGCTGGTCTGCCGCCGACTTAATTTTGTTCCGTTACATCGTTCGTTCAAGCGACAGTGGTTCCACACGTTTGGGAAGATTGACTTTCTTTCGTCGACTCCTCGGAAGCAGACTTCCCTTCGAATTTTGCAAAACGAAACGGGACCTGCTCCTCGAGAGCAAGCCTCTGTCTCTCTGACTTCATCAAGCAACTCATTTTGTCAGTTGATTCTACTCGTGGGACAATCATCTTAAGATTCCCGGATATTAAGTTTTATTTTGCCGTATTATTCACACCTATTAGTTTTGAGACACCTCCATCCAGCTAGCGAGTGTGTTTCTGACGGAATATTGTTCCCCCTCAGCAAGTTCAGATTGTTTAAGGATGGGTATTGAGATGAAGATTTCCGCGACAACTGCTATGCCTTTCAAAAGGTGGAAATATTATTTGAGCTGCAATTTGTTTGTAAATGTTGGATTGTTCCAGTGAAATCGTCGGATGAGTTTCCAAATTTTACATGTTATCAGCCTGCGAACTGTTGACGCAGGCACGGAGTTTACCTCCTTGTTCCTCCTTCGACCCGCCGCCTTGGGAGAAAAGGAAAGGGAGAATCTCTGCGGTCTGCGTTGTTTCTTAAGTACAAACCAGTCAAGTTGGTTGGCTTCAACAATGGCCGGACAACGCCTACAAGTCTGTTGATTGCGATGTGATGTCGAGTGATATATAGGTACCGGAGGTGTCGAAGAAGGCACACGAAAAACGATACTGCTGTATCGATGGAACCCAGGAGCAACCATGCGGATAGGATCATCGAGAACAGAGCTGACGCTGCAGCACGTGTATGATACGATCGAGTCTAGGAGCAGTCTGAGTGAAGTTCATCAACGTTGTTGAGAGGATATTCTGCGGGGAAAACAACTGGTGGACTGTACATATTCGATGTGTGCCATACAACGGTCGAAACACATGGAATCACTGTAAATTCTCTATCTTACCCGATAATGATAACGATAATAAATACATGCGAAGATTGAAGTCACATCATTTTCCCTCATTATCTACGTCAATCTACCATCCGAAAAAGTCCGCTCTAAGGGGGAAGGCTCTGCCCTCTGGACTCCGACCTCGACGCTGAGGGTCTGAGATCGACGAGCTCTTGGACTAGGGGTGCACAGCGTCATAGGCGAGGCGGGCCGCCATTCGGGTATATGTCGACCCCTGTCGGGCCGCGGTACGGGCCGCTCGACCCCCCTTCACCTCAATGAAAAGTGATCGAACACTGGCTATTGTCCCGGACACGGAGCGTAGCCTGAGATGAGTAGGACATCTCCGGAGCGTGAATCTCGTATCGAATGCCCCGAACTAGCTCTATTCCGGCCATATTGCCACAAATTTTCCCATGACGTTTCTCGCTGTCGTCCTCCTCGGATGCTTGTGCGCTGTGCTCATTGTCATCTATCAGGCGGTCCTAAAAGAAGACGCATGACTTCCAGAAAATTTTTGTTTAATAGAGACTAGACGCGGTAAGTAAGTAGGGTTGAACCTTTTGAAAGAAAGTCAAATCAGCAGTGAAGTATATCGTCGAATAACTACATCATTAATGATAATCATAATAATAATAATAATTATTGTCTCCATCGGTATGATAATAGTATTAATAGGGGCAAACATAATATTTGATGAAATCGACCCAACCTCGTGATACCAACCAATGTTCATGATCATCATCATTTACTCGTTTCGTAATTATCAATGCTTGCTTGTTCGGACGACTCAGGCATGATTCGTCGATTTTCTGGTCTTTCATAGCGCTTTCTTCCCCGGTCATTGTTCATGGAGAGAGAACCTGACCTTGCAGCAGATCAGCGGATTTTTCTTTTCGCTCCAATGCACTCAGCTCCGGAAATCTTTAGACTGGGAGGAAGTTTTTTCGGAGCAGCTCCCGAGCTCGGCTCTCTCTTTTTTTACATGGATTGAGAAAGTGAGCCTCCCCAGTGTTCTTTTCGACGTCTGATATGATTCAATGGGACGTCTAATCGAGATCCCCTCGGGTCACGGACGGGATCTTGATCAGGTGTCGCATCGATTTGCTCGAAACCTTGAAAAATATTCTTTGAAGTCTTGTGGCGAGCTCCGCCGGTATCAGGCTCGGAGGGCATCCGAAGTAGCCCCGTGGATTAATACGTTATACTCCCTCCCTTTGTCCTCTAGATCAAACCCTCTCTCCGCCGTATGTCCGCTTGTCATCAGGTCGGTCCTAGTCGTGGTATCCGTCGTCCCAAGTGGTTGGTGATGATAAAGTTGTGGTGATCAATGCTGATATCTCAAATATGATAATTTCGAGAACAGATCCTCTAAAAGAGTTTGTGTTTTGGTTGTGGCTGTCGTCATCAGCCTAGCGTCGTATATATATCTCTTTCAAACGTTTGTTTCGCTTCGCACGCGCTTGCTCTCGTCCTTCGATTCCCTCTTCAAATCTCTCTGTTATCATTCCATCGTCACCGTCGTCGTCCTTTTTTTCGAGTTTCCTAAGATACAAATATTCTAACATTCATATTCACTTAGCATCCTCGTTGCTTGTTGCTCCTAAATGCAAATCTCGTCAACATCGATCTGCTGACCAGAACCAGTATATATGTATGTTGTATATAATCGTTTTTTTCCATATAATATCCGTATATAGTAGTAATAATAATAATAATAATGATAATAATAGTGCTAATGACTTTACTTGTTGTTGTTGGTTTCGTTCGAACATTCGGTCTAAGATTCGGTGTTCAATTGTCGCCTCTCCGGTCGGGCAGTGAAGACGGAACTAGTGTGTAGTTTTGGATGTCTATGTCTGTGTGTTCATCGTCTTAGCGTAGCTCCTCCTGTCATGAGGGGAGATAGCAACGTTACCGTTCACCATCTCCGAGGATAGTACGTAACGTAGAGCTAAGTCAAAGAAATGTTTGTCCCCGGGAGAACTTGGCCCGGATGTTGCTGCTGGTTCTGTTTCTCGGCTCAGGGTCGAGGGTGGATAGGAAGATGAAGGTAGTTAGGAAGATAGAGAAAAGCCCGATGCCTCAGCGAAGCACAATTTTCCAATGCAAGGGCGTCTGGCGGAGTATGGCTCCCTTACAGTTTACGCAGGAACAGAAAAGCACTTTATACAAAGCGAGAACGTCTTCGCAATGAATGGAAGCCGGGAATGATGCCTTCGTTTGTGTTTGGGTATGTTGGTCAGTCAGTCAGAGGACGGGAGTCGGCGAGAAAAGAAAGAGAACTTCGACAAGAATGCTAGATGAACTGGTGATCGGATAGATGGCCTGAGCAGAAATCCAAGAGTCGGTCTATGGTGCCAGCGCTCGTCGGGCGGTCGAAGTTTTTCTTATAAGAGTGTCTCGAAGCGATAAACGAGTTCTCCTGCGACTCAAGTTGAATCGAGAATGATCAGAAGAGCCTTGTCGGAATCTGAGACAGGTTTGAGTTTCCCGCACAAAGACATTTCGGAGTGCGACAAAGGAGGCACCGATGACGATCGGTGCTCATAAAACAGAGATCAGGTGATTGGACTATGAAAAGCAAGGATGGAGCGAATGAGCCAACAACGTCATGTCTTCGACAGATTGCGTTTCGGGCAGGGCTATCTGGTATTCGTTGGTTCTTCCTGGACAATGCTCTCTGGGAACGCCAGAATTCTTCCGTAGAAACATGGTCCTAATTCCGAATAGTGATTCTCGGACACCCTGCGCATAGCCATCTGTCTGGAATGAGGCGCGCAACGCACCTCGCTAGACGAAATGTCTGAAGATCCCGAATCGCCAATTCCCATTTGCATAACATGACGGACGGACCATCAAGAACACGAGAAGCTCTCTAAGAGCCCACAGACTGCAGTGCCCTTGTAATGAACAAGTGTCAAGGTTCTTATCGCTCGAGTATTTACACGTTTTCTACATATGATGTTAGCAAACGCCTGCGCCGCCCGTGCAGTCCACTAGCTCCCTCGGCAACGTTCAATCGACAGTGAGGTACAAATGCAATGAGGATCATCAGTGAAGGCTTCCCTCCTTCCATGCCGCGAGCCAGTCCCTCTGCTTGAGTTTCGCAGAATCGCCCCGGTCGAAATGCCAAACGACCGACCTTTCGTCTGTGTAGTTTCTATATTCACCATCGTTCCACGAAGCCCGTCACGAGTGTGTGCGGGACAAAGGAGAGGTGGCTCCATCATCATCCGCCGCATCCGCAACATTTGAATGAGTCAATTGGATCGTCACCGTCTAGTTTCACATGAGAATGAGAAGCTCTAGAAACAGGTACAGATTTGAGCTCCTCCACTAGAAGAACAGTAGTCAGGCGATAGCTCCCACACATCCATCGACACGTTCAGTCACTCACTATCCACTCATCCATGGATTCATCGATTCTCCTAAATCCTAGTCGTCTTCGAGCTTCGACTGCGAGATTCGGCGCGATGATCAGCAGCACACCGGCGATGCTGCGAATGACGAGGAAGAGCTCACATCGTTTCCCCTCCCTCGTTCAATTATAGGTATTCATCCTCTATCAAGGTATTTGTTTCGTTGACTTGGAGGAGCCAGTGGAAATCAGTGGCGGCAGCGCGAGCGGCTTGGGCGTGTTGCATGAAAGCGTTTCTTTGTATCTTCTCCTTCCTTCGAGGAAAGGCTCTGAAGCGAATCGGATTGACGAATCGCTCAATGATCAAATTCACAATCCGATCGATCCGCTCCACGAATGGCACCTTGCAGGGCCTGCTCATCTCCATGCAGCGCGACGGCTCGACTGGCTCAAATGAACAACGTCAACAAACAAGCCCGCCCTGCAGCAGGAATATTCTTTTCTTCTCCATCTTGGCCTCCGGAGATTTAAGGTATCACGCATTTTAAGCGCTCGCCGGCGCTTGCCCGTTAAGAGAGATACAAGAAAGTGAGAGAAAGAGAAAGAGAAAACCGAGGCCCGACCGTAGATAGGCTTCCAATGGTGAGAGTTCAGCTGGGGTATCCGGTTCCATCTGCATCGTCTTATTATAGTCTCCCTCATCATTATCAATCGTCAATCAGTCAACTCACCGTAGATGTGTTCCGTATGTATACCAACACTACAAACTAGCTAAAACTCTCCATTTCAGGCTACCGCCACTACTATTAACAAGTTTAAATAATTATTATCATTATTGTTGTTGGTAGGTGATTTTGTTTGTTTCAGATGTTTCCGTCGATGGTAAGCATATCGTTTGCTTGTTGGTAACTTGTCGGTGTTGTTCTTCTTGTCGTAAAGTCATAAGGATAATAATTATGTGGTCTATAATTATAATAATAGATTTACCCAGGTACTTTTGATCTGCAACCTCTGCGTATGTCGTCAGCGCCTCGTACACGCCCCTCGACAACCTCCAGGCATTCGACATCCCTCGTTCCTGCTTTTTCGCCGGTTGTCCTCTGCTTTTTCCTTTACACGATCGGTCGTCTCGTCGAAGTATACGAGTGAACGACTTGGGTCATACTCGGAAGGGACTCGCCCTCGGATCCGTTCAGTGTTTTTCCTGCATTTTCCCCTCCCAGACCTCACAAAAATGAAGGTCGGCTCCACAAGCAATCAGAAAAAAAGCCAGTCATGTAGACAGACATACCATCTATCAATCAGTCAATCAATCGATGGATGAGTCTGACGGACGAATGGGCAGGCACGCCTCCATCTCGTTACAGAAGTATGATCGGAATTGTTTTCTGGCTCAGCAGACAGCAGAGGCCTCGGAGGAAGCTGACGAGTTTCTCCTCGACGTTTGCCCCCCGCGAGAGTGGATAACACCGAATTATTCAGTCGTTCAATCATCCAATGGGAGCGACGCCCCACTCTCGATTTAGTTCCTCCGAATTTTCGAAGCCCGTTGGAAATGAGAACTTGTATGGACTAAGGCACGAACGATCGCGATGCTGTCTGTCTTCAGGCTTCCAAGGGACGTAATAGTTGAGCTGTGTCATTTTTCCGTGAATACATCTTGCGCGATATTCTCGAATGGTTGTTGCGCGCTGCTTCCGAGCGGTTTCCGTAATATCCTTCTCAGCACTTGAGGTAGAGTTGAGAGTCTATTGAAGAAGTAAACCAGTCGGTTGGGGCGAGCGGTTCGTGTTGCGTCGTGACGTTTGCAAAGTTGCGTACACGAACGCGACACGTCCCTTTCAGGTCAATCGTAGCTTTGGACTGGGCAGCGTACGGAGAGCTTCGTCGACGGCAGTCGCTCACCGGGCTAGTGTGTCCAGGCCTATGTCCTGGAGAATCCACCGCCGATCCCTCGGTCGTCGTCGCGCCGAGTTTCCAGTTGTATGCAGAGACTTTTGTTGATGGTTCTACCGACGGGCTATTCGCTCACGATCACGAGAATCACGCGCCTGTACTCGATACAATGTGCGATTCTCCTGCTTCGAGTACAGGGAGGAAGATGGTGTCGGCGGAAGAGCAGCACTAGACGACGAGGGGACGGTCGATGAGAATCTCTTGATGATATCAATCTCGATAATGATGCCATTCTGCTGCCGCTGCTCGAAAGAGAATGGACACGTGTACGTTGAGGACATAGACGAGGGGCCCGTGACTGACAGTGTTCCTATCAGCGTCCATTGAAAGCGTCGCTACGTGGCCGCCTCTTGAAAGCGACCCGACGAGCTGCAGAAGCTGCTCGAGAAAAATACGACACCGACGACACCGCAGAAGACGCAGAAGAGACTGCGCTTTGATGACGAACTCCTTCCCAACAGGAGGCTACCGACGCCGATCCAGACCATCGACCAGAGTCGCGGCTGATGAGCTGAAATTCATCATTCTGAGAGTGAGATATCGGAAGGAAACTTGCTTAAGTCGACGCAAAGGATGGGGAAATTTAGTTCTGCGTTATCAGCACGGGAAGTTCGGGTTGCTCCACGACGTCACTGGTAACCTACCTCGTCGAAAGCTGATCGCAGCAGAAGTCAGAGACTGACCGACACGATTCTCCGTCGAAATGCTTTTCAGAGACGGATCTTCCTGTAGCCAGTCTATTGCCGGACAGCCTTGGGAATCACGGTCTGTCGGGAGAATCAGAACCGTTAGAACTTAAGAATTGACATGATTACCCCAAGTCAATCGGAGTCTCATTCGACCCTGAGAGGTCCGAAAAAATTATGGTCCGGTTTCGGGAGACAATTGTCTCTTCATGCGGTAATGGGAGGGGGAACCGAGCTCGACCTGTTGTGTTATCTCCGTCCACTGATTCCGTGTTGGTGTCTGAGACTATAACATCCACCGGGAGTGGAGCGGGCGTCGTTTCCAGCAGCTCGTCTCTCTGATTTTCGTTCCGGCCGACTGTGTTGAGATCGACCTTGATCGACGCCTGAGTGGTTTCATCTGCAATGAGTGTGTTTTGCGCTGGATTATCCCATGAACATGCCTGCTCGCATGGGGTTATCGTGTACATTCGAAATTCGCTTCAGTGAACTCGCTGGAGGTGTTCTAGAGTTCTAGGCTGGTTCTTTTCGTCCTTGGTGCTTGACGGCGTTCTGGTTCAGAATCAGATCGTTGTTCGGCTTTATACGCGTTTGAGGGTGGCAGCTCTACTGCAGTTGATGTTATTGGTCCAAACAAAAGAACCACGATACAAAGCATTTGGGTAGATGTTGCGTGCTGCACCGTCGCGCTCTCTGAAGCCCGTACCTCTGTTTGTTGGACTAATGAGGGTGGCCATGTCGCTATTGGTGAAAATTTCAGGCAGCCTGGCCTTGGGATTCTCCTTCAGCCAACACGCCATATAGCACCTATCGCTTGAAGCGAAGAGCGACTTGTTCTCAGGTTCAGCGATATTCGGGTCGATGCAATAGAACAGTGGCTCTCCGGCATATGCTTCGCCCTGGATCGGATGGAAGTGAGGACATCTGCAATGACGAATCCGGGATTCCGTTATTGTATCGGCTGATCTCGTTCCGCCAATGCTGTTTTCTGGGCGAGACATTCTAATTTCGATCGGAGGTTCGATCGGAGGTGCTCGAAGGCAGAGGGAGGGGAGCAGAAGTGTCCTAGACTCGATGATTCCATGCAATCTATCGGCTTCGTATCTCACCTTTCTTCCACATCAGTGCATATACTCCTGCAGGGTTTCCAAAGTGCCCCTGTCATCGGGTGAAATATGGGTAATCGCATCGCACACGTCCATTCACGATACGAATCCTGGAAAGAATATATAGGGGTAAATACAGTCACGAACGTTCACGGGGGTGGGCTAGGGCTTCGACTTCTAGAATATCAACACGTCAACGTCGTCGACGGGCTAGCGTGCTTCGTGCTCTCCGTCCGACCGTGCGGTCCGAACGTGCGGGCCATCCAGTCTGAGCCGCTCGCTCTACGTGAACAGAATTCCGGAGAAGTTCGGTCCACGCTACTCTCTGCATTAGGTGAATTCAGGCTTCAATGAGACGAATACTTTCAAACACGATCCTGGCGACTGAAACCAGGAGATTTCGGTGATCTCTGTATGCGCGGGGGGAGAGAGAGGCAATATATCACAAGCGGTTGAAGAATTGTGAGCGAGACAAACCGAAGGAGGTGGAGCGCGCTTTCCTACTGGGAATGCATTCGCGTACCCTTGAAGTCGGTGACTTAAGGAGAGCAGAAAGCAGAAGTCGGCGCTGACGCCGCGCCGCCCAATACGAAAGCTTCGAAGCTTGACGATGAATCGGGTCGGCGGAATCATCGATGGGACAGTGCTCGTGGGAACTGTGGTTTCGAACGAAGCCCTCTTCCTTTGCTCAGGGAGTCAGCAGCCACGAGCATTCCCCGACCGTCTTTTCGGAGATCTCCTCTGCCGAGCGCCCGAGCGAGTGGCCGACCGACCCGCCGTGCGTTGGTCCAGAGTTGTTCCAAACATAACATCAACAACGAGACGAGGCAAAAGAGCTTTGTCTGTCCGTTTATATAAAGTACTTGGCATGTAGCAAGTAATCTGTGTTGGTCCTGGCCGAGCCGTCGTTCGGTCGCTCTGATCCAGGTCTTTCGAGTCATAAAGCACAGAAGCGCTCGCTTGCTCCCGCTTGCACTATTCTTCCCTCCAAATGCCCAGCCCGTCAGCTCGACGAATCAACGAGCGAGCGGCTCGCAAAGTGTAGGTTGCGTCGTCCGCTCACCAGGCCAGCCGGTGAGTATAAGCACGCGAGGGCGACCCGGGCTGCTCGTTGACCAGCCTACTGAAGTGGTCGCACGGCAGCGGCGGATGAGCCTTGAATTTGTGACATAAGAAAAACGGGAAGACGACCGAGCAACCGAATGAGTGAAGCACAGTACACGAACGAACTTCCTGCCTGAGTCTGTACTCGCGTGTACGGCTTCCACGTAAGGGGAGTACGCGAACAACCCGACAAAGTAAGGGGACGTATCTCTTCGACCGGAGGTCAGCCAGGTCCTCAGCATTCAAGGCGAGCTCAGTCCCAGTCCGAGGGACGCAAAGATCAATCGAAAAAACTGTATCTGAAGCATGTGATTGCTCTTCAGGCCTCTTCCGGACGTCGATAATATTCGTCTGGCTGATACCATATATCAGGATTGACTAGTGGACCCCGTTCGGTCGGACAGGAGAGAACGGACGTCTGGCGTTTCCTTGTCGTTCTTTCTGCCCTCTCATCGTCTCAAACTAACAGTGAACTGACGTGCAATGGCTTGCAGGCCTACAAATCGAGGATCGGCATGCTAACGGCCGATCGCCCACGAGAAGGGCCGCTAACCTGCGGGAGGTCTGAAGGCGTTTACGTGAGTTGATGATGGGAGCATCGGGCACCGTCAACAACAAATTATCGTCTCGTCGTTCCGTGATAGGAAAAGGAGACAGCGCTCGACTGCCTATACTCAGGACGATAACGCGGTGCTCTGCACGATTTTGAAACATCCTTCCGAAACCAGGAAGGCTCTGAGATCTCAGTCGATATGACCGGATCATCAATCGTTGGTCAAACTGCATATTTGTCCTAACGGAGCGGATACATTCCACAGGTCAAATCACCCGGCGCGCGTGGGTCGATGTTTCAAGCTAGTAAGGGTTGTTCGCTCTGCCGCGGGGAATTCGTAATGATCACAGCCTGCTGGCGGTTGTTGTACACAGCCGGGCATCGTCCGGCGATGGTGAGCATCTTTCGTCGAGAGCGGCCGCGATTCTCGGGGATGGAGTCCTAGAAGCGCTCATGGAACTCTTTCCTCCGACTTCGGGATGTTCGATGCTTCGATTGAATATCTGAACCGGAAGGCGAGGAAGCGAGCACCTGAGCTCTTCAGAGCTTCCTCCACGCGACACGAAGAAATCTCCCGCTGAATAGAACACAATGTCTCTGTGTGGCTCCTGATAGAGCGCGGATTCGCTTGAACCGTGACTACGCTTTCTTCCAGGCACATTCGACAGATGAGGCATGAGGCGATTCGAGCTTTCATCTCATCGATTCAAAATCTCTGTTCAGCTCCACCCGTCTGCTCGGGGCTCCTTAACGAGTTCAAAGGCGCCGGCGTCGTCGGAACGGGAGCTCGAGAAATCGGGAAACGATTTCTCTTCAATCGAGGCGAGCATTGTTTCAGCAGAGAGATTGACTTACTGCTTAACGCTGTCGCCGCAGCTGAGAGAATGAAAAACGAAAAAAGAGCAAGGAAAAAGCTTCACTGTCACTTGTGCGTCAAGCCAGCTCTTTGGGCTCAGACGACGCTTTGTTGGTTGCTGGCTCGCTCGCTCGCCCGCCCGGTTCGGTCGGTCGCCACTTTTACTTAGAGAAATAATGGCCGACGCAACAGTTGAGACATCAAGCTCGACGTCTCCGCTCTTCCGCTGTGGAGGAACGCACACGAACTCTTTTCTCGTTCTGCGGCCCGCGCTGCCGGAGTCCCGCAAATCTTTCTCTCCTAATGAAACGATCGCGCAAAGACGCGCCCCGCTCCCATTTCCAATCATCCACAGTATTATTCCGCTTCTTTTGTCAGAAATCTCCCCATTCAAGCACTCGAATACCATCAGATCGCGACCCGTCCCACAGAATGCAATGCTAGCGAGCTGACTGTGGATGGGAACCCCGCTGTAGAGGAACACGAGGGGACAGGGAAAAAATTGACATTCAGTGTGCCGTCTACCTAGGAAGATATGTGTGGGCGTGTGTATTTCGTAGGGTCCACTCACCAGGCAATGTTTGCAGCTCCAACGCACTGAGTACCTTAGATTACAATCGAACCTATCGAATAACTTTTCCATTTGACACACGGTTTCGCACGCTTTCTTATCCAACTCCCACAAACGGTCCCAAATATTCCGACGTTCCTCGAGAGACGCATTACAAAACGTCTTACGATCGAGAAGCATCTCAGGAGAAATGTGTCCACATATTCGCAGCCGAGGCACAGGATTAGATTGAGGATCGCTAGTACCATCGTCCTCCATGAGTTTAGATTCATCACGATTCAACTTGTTCAACTTTAAACTACGGCTTGGCGGAGGTGGTGCAGCAACCGCAGCTGATGTCGACGCCGGCGCCGCCGCCGCAGAGGATGAATGCGACATCCCCCCTGATGGTGCTGCTGCTGATGATGATTCTGGTAACAGTGATAATTCAGGTGGAGATTCCGCAGAGGGCTCTGCTGAAGGAAGTCGATCTTCCTCAACGATCACAGTCGGGGTGGCCGCGGGGCTTGCGGGCGTATCTCCGTTGGGAAGTACAACAACGGCGGGAGTCGCGGTACTCTTCGACGAAGGGTCCGAGGAAGGAGACGACGACGACGATGAGGCTGCCGGTGCTGCTGCTCCTGCTGCTGCGGCGGCAGCAGGAGGAGAGGACAACGAGGACGAAGCCGAAGAGGGGGAGGAGGACGGTAGGGTATACGAGGGCGATGAAAAAATTGACGGAGATGACAATATTGATGGAGAAGACAGTAAAGGTAGTACTGCAGGTGGACTAGCTTGATCTGTGCTGCTCGTAGACATGGTGGTCGCAGTAGACGGGAGAGTAGAAGGAGAAGAAGTACTTGTAGAAGTGGTAGTTGAAGTAGTAGTAGTTGCGGTCGCTAGAGGTAAACCATCGGGCTCTTCGCCAGCACGTAGTCGCGGCGGTTTTCTTGTGAGCTCTTCGAACTCCTTAAGGTAGCCTTCACTCTTCTGCTCGACAGGTAATTTGACTTCTGTGCCTTTCCCCGAATTGGCTTCATGCTTCGACGGCTGCTGTAGTTGCTGCTGCTGCAGGTTGTGCACTTGTTGCGGCGGGGCAGGTGGCTGTTTTTGTTGCTGCGGCCGCAGCTGCGTGTGCTGCAGCGATTGTTGTCTTCGTTGTTGTGGATCGGGGGGTTTTTGCTGCTGCTGTTGATGCGGCGTTTGTTGCGGCCGTCGCTCCTGATCCCGTTGTGGTTGTTGCTGTTGTTGTAGTTCTGCTTGTCGTTGCTGTTTCTGTTGTTGTTCTAGTTGCTGTACGAGAACCGGCGGTTTTTCCTGCTGTAGTTGAACTTGTTGCTCCTCGTGCTGTGGATGTAGATGCCGCTGCGTACCCGCCGGAGGCTCGGAGGCTCGCGTTGTTCGGATTGGGGCACTTGAACAGAATTCCTCAAACGTTGGCATTTCAGGTGTATCGTAGTTGCACGTTTCTGGACATCGAAATGATGGCTTTGTCGTTGGATCACCACCATTGGTGGCTGTTGTGGCGGCGTCGGCCATCGCACGACACGGCTTAGGTACAATGAAGAGAATAAGATAAAATAGGCAGTATACAATAGCAGTAGAGTGGATCGTAGAGCCGCACGCGCGTGGACCTGCTGCTCGTCCATGACGCGCCGAATGTTGTTGCAATTGCTGAACACGAGGCAAGCTCAGCGGGACTTGCAAACACTTTTCACTAGGACAGTCTTTACTCTTGCGGTTATTGTTGTTTCTGCGGTTGTTGCTCTTGCTGTTGTTGTTGTCGTTGCTGCTGCTGCTAGTGCTGACGCTCACCACCACGACACTTGCCTTGCGTTTGTTGCTGTTGTTGAAGTCACCAATCGATGGGGCTAATAATGTTGTCAGGGTTGTTTTTCTGCTTCTTGATTGTAACAGTTGCTCTTGTGGATTATGTTGTTGGCTCGTGATGATGCTTTTTTCGGAAGCGACGAACGTCGTTGTATTCGCCGTCGTCGTCGTCGTCTTCGTGGTTGTGGTAGTATTCGTTGCCGTCAACGATTCCGTCGACTTCGAAACGTCTGTGGGGGCGGCAGAATGTGCTAACCGACGCGTCTCCCTGCTTCTAGTTGTGATGGCGATCTCGCCGAGATGAGCCGTGAACGTTGGCGGACAGTCTTCGATTGTTGTTGCGCTGCTACCGGTGTTGGTAGTTGTTGCTGGTTCGGGTCTTGTCGTCGCTGTCGACTTCGATTTACAGCTCGGAACTTGACGAAACAAAAAACTCGTCGAGCTAGAGCACGGTCCAGGCCAAGGACTTGGCCTGGTGAGCCACGTTGGCCTGCTGTCCGAGGGTCCATAGTTTTTGTCTGGACCTCGACTTCCGTCTGTGATTGGATCCCCCTCTGTCGACGGACGGGGGGATCTTCGATAGGGAACAACATTGTCCAAACAATGTTCTGTCTCTGTGTTTCTTTGGTCTGTGTATGGCGGCGTCCCTTGTTTGGTGCGGTGGCTGTGAAAATGTGTGCTCATTTTGAGCGTCGGGGCGCAGGTGAATGGAAAACAGGAGGGGTGTCCGTGCCACCTTCGGGTCACCCCACATTGTCAAACCCCTTGAAGATTGGGTGCTAGGTCAGGCCTAAGGCTCCGGTTCCTGGTTCGAGCCTGCTGCCGAACGGCGGGGGGCGCACAGGGCATGCTGCCCTGTAGGAGGCCCAGCCATGGCAGCCTCCGTAGGCCCTCCGCTTCGGCCACCCGACAACACACAACAGACAGGAACAACTATGAACGCCGTCCGCTTTGTTCGCGCATTCACTCCGTTAGGGAAATCACTCGGTTCGAAACGATTTCACCCGATCGTAGTCTCGTCCTTCCGTCGATAGAGTAGGGGACGAGGTCTCGTTGCGCTTCGAACGACTGGGTGAGTGTGCTGGTGGTGGTGGCGGTGGTGGTCGTCGTCGTCGTCGATCCTGCTGGAGGCGCTTATTCCTTTGGCTGCGTATCGACAATCGACCGACGACACTCGACCTACGACAATCGACGGATGTATGAACACTTCACTTCAGGACTGTCGACTAGATCGACCAGTCGGTTGGTCAAAATTGGCACCCTAATCCTGAGACTGCTGTCTTATGATGATGATGCTGTTGGTCCTGCTGCTGATCTACAAAGGGACCCCGCGTTGGCAAGTCGAGGTCCCTGTGGCGGAGAACAGCACCGTACGGACGAATCTGGCGACACAGAACGAGAGCACTGTCTAAACGTTGTTGTCGTCGACCACAATAATGTTTCTGCTTCTTCTGCTGCTGCTGCGGCTGCTGCTCGATGTTCTATCTCCATTACATTGCTGCTGCTCTCTGCTGCTCATTCACTACGGTGATATGGCGAAGGTGGCGCTTCTGCTTGTTGGCAACATGGCTGCCGTCCGTCCGTGGGTCCCTTCCGTCCGCGCGCCTGCCTGCCTGCCCGCCAGTCAGGCAACCCAACCAACCGAGCGGCCTGCCAGCCAGCCCGCCAGCCAACCCGCCCGAGCGACCGTCGAGGAGCACGAAGGACGCTGCTTCCCGTCCTGGCAGCCACCGCTCTTCCGACTCTTTTGCCCTCGAATTCTCTTGCCCAAGAATTCTCTGACGGGGGAAAGGGTCGCCGTCGTGTTCGGTCGGTCGACGCTTCTGGCTTTCAGCAGCGCCCTCGTTGCAACACACGCCGAACACATCGCGCTCTAACCACGTATATCGCTCGAATACGCGTGATTCGGTACTGAGAATATCCATTGAGATCCTGCTCAGTAGCGAGAACCGGGGCGAACCCTTCTCGGGGATCTAGAGGAATCATTCTTATTCCTCAGCCAGCCATGGATAAAATACCCTCATGTATATCTGCGGTAGGCCCAGCGGCGGTCCTCTCGGGAGTCAGTCGAACATACCGCCGAGCAAGTGGAAGGCCGGTGGGGGGGGGTCGCTCGGACTGGCTGAGTTTTTTCCCCGCGATCCGAGCTCGGCGGACGAGAGCCACTCGTTGGCATGAGCGGCTGGCTATCGAAGTTCGAAATTAATGCCAATGTCTCTCCGGATCGGGGAGAGCTCTCCACCACGTTCGCGCGAAACTTCCTGGATCATACCCTTTGCGCAGCTGTATTCAGGCTTGCGTCTGGGGGGACACGCGACGGAATGTCTCGAGATTCAAGCGAATATACTCCACAATATCAGCCCAAGTCGGGAAGATCACAAATCACTTCAAAATCGGGCATCGGACAACGAACAGAAATTCGGAATCTACAGCATCGATGCGGAGCTCGGCGCGGCGGGTGGTGGGAGTGGATAGAGACTCCGGGAAAATTTCATGAACTCTTATTGTAGAGATGGGCACTCATGAGGAAATCCCCAGCGCCGTTGGCGACCTACTGGCGCGAGACAGAAGTGGGAACGCTGATCGAAGGTCTCTCACTCGTTATCGATCCATCGTCTGACGGTGTGTCAAAGCAATGCGACAAGGGAATCGTCTCCTTGAGCACGAAGGGGAAATATTGAGGGAGTCCAGGAGTGACTCTACCTGATGTTCATGCTCTTCTGTCCTTCACCGTGAATTTTCCCCCCTTCGACGGACACCTCACCTCCATAATCCGGTGACCGGCTCTCGAGCTGCTGTGATTGGACGATACTACCCGCAGTCTCCCCGATCAGTCCCACGGATTGGGAAACCTTTACAGATTCCTGTGAGCACTCGACTCCCTTCTAGTCACGACTTCGTTCACCGCTCCTAGTCTTGCTCCCCAACGTTCTCATAAACATCCGGAAATGAGTCGATCAGCAAATTCAAGATTCCGACATCGTCTGTTTGACGAGGAACTCATTGAACGCAACTCAATTTCGGAGCAGTCAGGTGAACCTCGGTGATCACTCAAGCTCCACGACCATCTTTCTGGACCGTAAAAGAAATCCGCCGATCCCAACGCGAAAATTCCCAATGCTCCCAGGTATCCCGGCCTCCGTCGGGTCGTATCGTTGTGCCGGGCTCCGAAAGCAGGGTCGACCGAGTCAGCTCCCAGGAAAACTTATATCTGTTACTCTTTGCCGGGAAGGCTGCTTACACGAGTCAAGTCTTGTTTGGGGAAGGAGTGTTCCTTCACTTTGTCATGTAATGACGCCTGGCTGCATCTGGCGGTAATCAATTGGGCTCTGTCAAATCGAGTCCGGCTTCATTCACTACTATCGAGCGATAAGACGAGCTATTTATCCCCGCCGGAGGAAATAGCTCCAACGTCGCAAAAGAGAGGACCCACCCACCCACAACGGCGACAAAAACGGATCCGTAGACCTCTGTTTGGTTCTCAGGCATCAATCGAAGCTACCTGTTCGGAACAACGGCTTCGAGTTGAATCGAACAGCTCGTATGGAGGAGGGATGCCAAAAGCTTCTATGAGAGGAAAGTAGACAAACTAGCCCATCTGCGAGCTGTTATGAGTGAGCCGAAGAGTAAACAGATAGAGATTTCTTCCTCATAGCTTTCTGCGACCTTCCCCGTCCGGCTAAATGGAGCAATGCGTCGTGTGGAGTTACGAGTCCGACCGGACAAAAACAGAGCTCCTAAATGGAACGGGACCGCGGCACGAAGAATCGCTCGCCGTTCACGCCTACTTTCCATCATGGCTTTGGGTTCGCCCTCTGGCCTCTTCCAATTCTGAAGCTCAGCTGCGACGATACAGCCACGATGCCCTCGCACAATGTCCGTCGTGAACTTGACGGCAGTCGCTGAAAATCTGTACAGTTATTCAGAATGGACGAGCGCTCGTGACATGACGACGATTCGCACTCCATTCCAGCGTTCGGTGTAATTCTTCGGAGTAGTTTCTCTTAAGTGAGGCTCGTATAGTCTCCAGAGGCCCATTAGAAGCCGGTCCGAGGCTCGAGGCAGATTTTTAAGGGCTCCTGTTTTTTTACGCCGAGCGTCAAAACAGACAATGCGGTCTCGGCCGCAAAAGGTCCGGTGCTGAAGGGACGCTAATGCCCGAGACGCCCCTACGGAACCGGGGCACCCTCAATTCTCCCGAAAAGTTCCATTCAGACCGCTTCACCAGAGTCGCGATCAAACTCTGCGAACATCCTCTATCGGAGCTGAGAAGCCAAGACATCGGGTGGATGACGATATTCGTTCGAAAGGCGGAGAGGACAATCGATTTTATTGGATAACACGATTCGGAGAGTCGCTCCGCCATGACAATGTATCTATTTCTAGAGCTTATCCGATCTGCATCTCGTTCCTCGCCCCAGGATCATAGGTGGTCGCTGAATGAGCTTAATATTAGGTACCTCAATAAATTGTGTTGTCTAAAGTCAAAAGTTCGAATTCACCGGGTCCAAGTACGATAAGAATGATTGGAGCTGCTCAAGCAAGACTCCTCCATGAGAGGGAAAACACTTCCGATCCTTTCGTCGGTCGAGAAATCCTCGGCTCACCTACCGTATTTTCTCCGAATCGAGGAGATGCCGCCATGCTCCTCCTCCTCCTGGGCATTCCAGCGGTTCCGTCGTCGTCGACCGTTGGAAAGTTGAGGGCAT